TCTCGCCCCGATGGTGGGAGCCGAGCCCTTCTGACAATTCCAGCCCTCTACAGGTGACAGCTGCTTAAATGGGTCAGGTTTTACCTACTGGTGAAAGAGAACTCTTTACCTCTGCCCTCTGCACAAATATTGTCAACGGTCCTAAAGATCCAGTTTAGGGTTGCCAATTTTGTATGGATGTGTTCCTGGAGATTTCATCACTTGACGTAATCTTTAATTAAAGATTGCTCTTTAATTTCCTGGAGACTCCAGGAGAATCCTGCAGGGTTGGCAACCCTAATCCACCTGCATCTGACTCCTGCAGCAGTGAGTTCCACCGGTTGTCTATACATTGCCCAAAGTAGTTCCTTGTGTAGGTTCCAAATTAATGGCCCATTCTTTTCATCTGCTTATCGGCACTGGAGACAAGAGTCTTTCATTGCTGTAATCCAGTGGTTCTCTCAACCTTTCCAGACCACTGTACCCCTTTCAGGAGGCTGACTTGTACCTCCAAGTTTAATCTCACTTAAAAACAACTTGCTTACAAAATCAGACATAAAAATACAAGTGTCACAGCCACACTATTACTGAAAAAATGCTGACTTTCTCATTTACCATCTAATTATAAAATAAATCAACTGGAATTTAAATGCCATACTTACATGTCAATGTACAGTATATATAGAGCTATATAAACAAGTCACTGTCAGTATGAAATTTTAGTTGTACTGACTTCGCTAGTGCTTTTTATGTAGCTTGTTGTAATATCTAGATGAGTGGATGTACCCCCTGGAAGAGCTCTGCGTACCCCAGGGGGACGCGTACTCCTGGTTGAGAACCACTGCTGTAATCATACCAATAGAGATTCTACCATCTGCCCCACCACTAAGGGGCAGTGTCTCTCCATTCTGTACACCTTCACCGGCACCCAACATAAAATCGACAGACCTGATTCTCCATAGCCCGGCGGCTGGTGCAGTCATTGACACCGAGGTGCCTTTAAGAGCAAGTGGAACTGAGCCAATTCCTTTTTGTCCTACAGGGACCGGGACATGGAGAACAATTGATCACTGTCCTCTTTATAGCAGCCCTTCACATCTTTGAAAATCGATCATGCCCCTTTCCTGGACCTACCCTCCTTTTCTCCGGGCACTAAGCCCTGGTCTATGCTAGAAAATTAGGTCAATTGCACTAGTTGGTCACACTAGTGTGTGAAAAATCCACACACCTGAGTGGCGTAGCTAAGCCAACCCAAGTCCCCGTGTGAACAGCTACCGCTTCTCAGGCAGGTGGACAGGCAGTGTCTACACTGAAGTGGCTACAGCAGTGGCGCCTTTTAAGTGCAGACTGGCCCTACAGTCAAAATGCATATGCAAAGGCAAGCAGTCAATGCTGTGCTGCATTAGGAGGTCAGGCACATACCAATCTTGTAGTGAAGCTTTTAGTTGGTTTAAAAAAGGCATTTGCCCAGACAGGCTGATCTCCTACGAATATTTTAGTTTGTTTTACACCAGTCGAAGTTAGGGAGGGAGAGAACGAACCCAGGAGCAAACCCAAACTGAAACACAGCTTCACACTCACAGGCCAGAAGCTATTTCTAACTGCAGTTAAAGAAGGCAACTTTGGAGAAGCCACGGCCGGCTGGGACCAATGAAAAAGGCCCCATTTAACTGCTTCCGTGGCGGCAGCATCCATCTCACCAAGAAGGAAGTTTGCTAACTCATTTCTTCAATGAAACAGCCTCTGACTGCACAGTGGCTTGACAGTGGATCCCAAGGGTGGGTGTGTGCGCGTGCTTTCCAAACTCCCCTTCTGTCCCTGATCAGTTCTGGGAAACTGGAGGGCGGGGTCCCCCATGTCTCCAGCAAATACTCCCCCCCCACAAACCTCACCGCCCCATTGCTCCTGCAAACACCAGCCGACAGGGATCCCCACGAATCTGTGCTCCAGCTGCCCCCCTTTTCCTTCAGCAGAGCTCCCTCCAGCACCCCGTCCCTGGGGGATCCCAGTGCAGGGGTCCCCCCCCACAGACTCTGCAGAGACTGCGAGCTGGCTGCTCTGCTCCCCACCCCTCAAAGAAGGGAAGTTTCCACCCCGGAGAGGGAGCCCCCTCATGGCCCCCTTTCCCAATTCCTGCCTGGGGGAGGGGGCACTAGCAATCTGTCTCACTCTGGTTCTGCAGCTTGGCCCCCGATGGCGTTTTCCCCAGGAACTGAAATCAGAGCAGGTGTTCAAATGTACAGGGGGAGGGGGTCTGGAAAATGACAGAATGGGCAGCACAGCATGTAACTAGTGACCACTAAAGGGGGATGTGGGACTTCGGGAGGGGGGGCGGGGTACCCTGGGAAGCTGGGTCTAATAAAGCCCAGCACAGACAGCGCTTGACACCCAATCGACAGGATGAGGTGAGAGTGGGGTGATGGTGCACGTGGGCTGGTACAGTACGTGCACCCGGCTGCATTGGACAATCTCAACTCCTTATAGGGACTCTTCAGATCAGGTCCCTTTGCTCCTCCCCCACCCCCCTCCCCGCCCCGCCCAAGGGAGGAGGGAATCTCAAAGTCTTCCAGAAAGAAAGAAAGAGAAAGAAAGATGCCCCAGGGGAGAGAGTGCAGGAATGAGGGGTCTCTGTCCAGCAGTGCTGGGAACTCTGGGTGAAGTCTGTGGAGTGCATCAGCTATGCAAGGAGTAGGAGACTTCTGTGTATCCTTCTGGCTCTGTCAATCCTCTTGCTCGAGATCCTGCATTTGCTCCAATCCCTCAGACAGAGACAAACACCTACAGGATCTCTCTCAAGTGTTCTTAAAACTACAGGACCCACCTGGTGAAGTGAAGAAACAGACTGACAGAGCCAGAAGAGTACCCAGAAGTCACCTACTACAGGACAGGCCCAACAAAGAAAGTAACAGAACGCCACGAGCCGTCACCTACAGCCCCCAACTAAAACCTCTCCAGGAAAAGTTTTGTTCCCTTCCCCTCTCCGTTCCAAGCCACCAGGAACAGAGTCTGTCCCAGTCTCAGATAAGCTTGAAAGTCTTCCCACATTGTTCCATGCCTCCCTTTTCGTCTTTCAAAAGCACTTCTCTCCCGCCTTTAGTGCGGACTGATCTATGGGCTTCTCAGCAAAGGCTCCCCCAGCACATCTGGAAGGATCGGCCCAGTGGGGACCAAAAAAACTTTTGTACCAGGAAATGACTGTACTGAGAGCACCTCATAACTACCTGCCCTAGGCCCAGCCACAATGCTGCCCCCTTGTAGAGGGGTGAGAGAGTTTGCTGGGGTGGCCCATCGCAGCTAGAGCCTGACAGCTAACAACGGGGTGTGTTACACATTGTTGTCATGAGCCATAAAATCAGACTCTCTGTTGAGTCAATGTTTTTTGGTGTCTAGCAGAGTTATGAATTCAAGTTCCCAGTCTCACCTTCGGAAGGTGCTTGTGCAGGTTCCCTAAGAGGACAAGTATTGAAATATCCGTGAAAAATCAGCTATTCGCCCAGCGCTACTCACATGCAAAGTCCCTCCAGGGAGATGATTTAAACTGTCTTTTACTTGCTAGTGTCTGACATTTTCAAAGCTATTAATCTGTTCGTTGATACCACAAGCATTTGCCACAATTTACAATGCATGTGCTTCCCTCGCCGCAATGAAACTCAATCTTCATGCTGTGCTTTCAGAAGAGCGCTGCAGTTATTAAAATCTGCTTGGATAGGAGACATCCATTTCTGTGCCTCAGTCACCGCTCTCTGTAACTGGTGGGCAGGCGGGCCTGGCAGAGCAGGCCCCACACCTCCATCTGCGGCTTGGCCTGGCTCCCGTTGACTGCTCCCCAGTTACTGCCCTTGGCTCACTGTACTCATGGCCTCCCGCCTTGGCTGCGGTGCTGCCCTCTGGCCCGGGCCGCTGCACCGGAGACTCCAGCCCCCCAGGAGATGCAGCCCAGCCTGGCTCCCAGCAGGGGCTCAGGAGCTGCCTCTCCCCGCCCGGCTTTGCTCTAGGAAGCCTCCACTATATGGCAAAGCTCAGGCCTGCCCAGAGACCCCAACTGCAACCCCCAGGAGCCCCCTCCCCCAGGCACCAGCTCCCTAACTGGGGCTCCTAGGAAAGCCAAGACCCAGTCGCTGCCCCCCTCCACCAGACCTGGGCACAGACCCCCCGGCCTGGAGCCATCTCCCCTCTGCTCATTGTTGGTCGCATTGCTGACACCAGGCAGTATCTGCCGCTCTGCACTGGCGGCCTGGCCACGCTGCTGCAGCCACAGCCCACCCCACAGGTGGCAGACGAGGCGTAAAGCTGATCTGAGGCTCTGGGCCCATAAGCAAGGCCCAGAGTACCCAGGCCGGCCGGAGGCCGTTCTGCAGCCGCTTTAGACACTTCCAGGCAGAGGAAATGCGGAGCCTGCTGAGGGCCACGGCACGCTAGTGATTTCCAGAGGCAGCGACCGATGGTGACCCCATGCCAGCTGGTCTCACAGCACAGCAGGATGGTGACCTGAGCCAGCCTAGCCCCGTCCCACCTGGCGGCCAGAGAACCTGGGAGGGAGGAGGTCCAATGCGTTGGGACTGCAATGAACAGACCCCTCCAGCTGCGGTGCCAAGAGGCTGGGACGTGAGACAGTTACGGGCATTGCAAAGGATCGTGCCCCCCTGAGAGGAGGGAGGCAGCTGGCTCCTCTCAGAGCGACTAGCACAGAGCAGGGAGGCGGCACTGCCCACGGTCACACACATTGTGGCGGCAACAAAAGCCCCCAAAGAGACATTTCTCCGAAGTGGAGCCAGGATGAAGCCATAGCAACCCCGGGTGCCTGTGCCCAGCTGGCATTCCCCTCAGGGGCGCTTGGTGTGGTCAGGCCATGGGGCCCAGTGCCTGCCCACTGCAGACACCCCACAGCGCCCTGGGAATGTCACGGGTTTATTTTCATTTTGTAACAAAACATTTTAGAAAATTCATTTGAAGCTGCTCCCCCAACCCACATCCCTCCCCGCAGCCCCTCCCCTGTTTCCCACAAGCCTGCATTGAGTGCTGGCGTCCCCCTGCTTCTGTGCCCCCGCCCCGCGCACAGCTAAGCAGCTGCAGGGTGGGTTTTGGCTTGGCTGGGCCACACGGCAGGGTCCAGGGTGTTGGGGCAGCAGCCCGGGCAGCACCAGCCAGCAAAAGGGGAGAAAAAGGGGGTCAGGCACTGCCTGGGCACAGCCCCCATTCCCTGAGCCCCACCCCTGAGCAGGGCCCCACCCTGCAGGAAGCTCTGCCCCCATGTTTGCTACCTGGGGCTGGAGGAACCATGACTGCTGGCAGCAGCTTCACTCACACTCGGTACCGGGATGGGCCCAGCCACCCCCATTCCTGGGCAGTGGGCGGGGAGTGGCCATGCAACAGTGCGGACTGTGGTCAGGGCCAGGCCAGGCCCATCCCAGCATGGGGAGTGTGGGAGGCACCGGATGCCGGTGACTGTCCTGGGGGAGGGGATGTCACTCAGCAGCATGCACCCGCTGGTGCAGCAGGAGGTTGGAGCTGCGGGTGTAGCCACGCCCGCACTGCCCGCAGCGGAAGGGGCGTTCCCCAGCATGGGAGCGCTGGTGGCGAAGCAGGGCCGAGTGGTGGCGGAAGCGGCGCCCGCAGCGGGGGCACTCGTGAGGTTTCTCGCCCGTGTGCCGCCGGCGGTGCTCCACCAGGCTGGCCAGCTGGGCAAAGCGCCGCCCGCACTCAGCACAGGTGTGGGGTCGGGCGTCCGTGTGGCCCCGCTGGTGCCGCAGGAGGTTGGCCCGGTCGGCGAAGGCCTGGCCGCAGTCAGGGCAGGTGTGGGGGCGCTGGCCGGCATGGGCGCTGCGCTGGTGCTGCCGCAGGTAGGAGCTCTGTGTGTAGCTGCGCCCGCACTCCTCACAGCAGTGGGGGCGCTCGCCCGTGTGCACCAGCTGGTGCCGCAGCAACGTGGCGCTCAGGGCAAAGGCTTTGCCGCAGACCGGGCAGGGGAAGGGGCGTTCGCCCGTGTGCGCCAGCCGGTGCCGGAGCAGGTGGGCGCGGTGGTGGAAGCGGCGGGGGCAGTCTGGGCAGGCGTGGGGCTGTTCGACACGGTGCGTCCGCAAGTGCCGTGCCAGCGTGCAGCGCAGCCCGAAGCTCTTGCCGCAGTGAGCGCAGGCGTGGGGGCGCGGGCTGGCGTGGGCGCCCTGCTGGTGCTGCGCCAGGTGGGCGCTCTGCCGGAAGCTCTGCCCGCACTCCCCGCAGCGGTAGGGACGCTCGCTGGTGTGCACTCGCTGATGCACCAGCAGCGCCGAGCTGCCGGCAAAGGCCTTGCCGCACGCCAGGCAGGGGAAGGGGCGCTCGCCCGTGTGTGCCCGTTGGTGCGCGGCCAGCGCCGCGCCGTCGCAAAAGCCTTTGCTGCAGGTGGTGCAGACGTAGGGCCTCTCGCTCGCATGTAGCAGCTGGTGCCTGGTCAGCGTGGCGCTCTGCCGGAAGCTCTTCCCACACTCGCCACATTTAAAGGGCCGCCTGACGGTGGGGTCTCTGTGCCGCGCCGGCTCTGCATCAGCGCTACCTCCCGGCATGGCCTCCTCCACCCTGGCCCTGCCCCCGGGCACCGCCTCCTCTGCCCCTGCAGCAGGGTCTTTGTGCCACGCTCCCCCCACCGGCTCCACATCAGTGCTGGTGCCATCCCTTCCCGGTGCAGCATCCTCTGCCCCAGCCACGCTCGCCAGCCTCTCACCTGCAGGAACAAATGGGCAGTCAGGCCGGAGCTGTCCCCACAGGAGGACAGGGCCCCAACTACGGCACCGCCCACGTGGCCCCGCCCCTCCCTGGAGCCGGTTTCTGAGCAGGGATTGAAGGGGACGGTCACACCTCTTGCAGCTTTTTCAGGCTGCTGCCGATTCAGGCAGGCGTCAGCACCACCCAGCACACGTTCACAGGCTTTTCTTTGCCTCTGTGTGGGCTGGAAATATTATTTGCTTTTTCAGTGAGAGCCAAGACCTGGCTCTCATATGGTTCTGGGGGCCCTGGCGCAGGTGGTGGGATGGGTACTAGGTGCACACAGATCAGGGAGAGGGTGGTGACAACCTCGGAGAGGAGCTGGGCCAGGAGGGCTTGCAGGGGTGGCTGTGGGGGGTCCCAGCTACCCCCACCCCTCTCAGCTGGGCTTATTAATCCCTCACCTGTTTGGGGGCCCGGCCAGCTCTCGTCATCCTCGTCTTTGCTGAGATCTGGGACTTGCAGCTCTTCCCCTCGCTCCATCCAGTATCGGGATTGGGGCCCTGCTGGGAGAGAACAGAGCAGGTGGGATCCAAGTAAATACCCACCCGGCTTGGCATTCATCTGCCACTCGGGGCTGGCATGGACGAGACAGCCAGGAAACGCCTGTGGAAACACAGGAGGGTTAATTCAGACACAAACAATCAGAGTGGAGGGGAGACGACCCCAGGGCTCCCCGAGCCATGGTGCCAGCGTGGCTCCACAGCCGCTCACTAACATGGGGTAGAAAAGCCCCTTGAACCAAACTGGCTCCGTGCAGCGCCAGGACTGAGCCTCTGAACGGGACGAGTGGGAAACAGCTGGCCTGGCTAAGGCCACCCTGTGTGGTGAACACAAACTCTGGGCAAAGGAGCAAGTCAAGGAAGTGTCAGTTACCTCAGCCCACGTCCCGTGAGCCAACAGCCCCACCGGGGACTCCACTGCATGGGGCAGAGCCAGCGATCCCCTCAGTCACAAGGGGGTGGCAAAGATTCCTACACTTTCCAGAGCAGACTGTGTACTCAGCCCCTGCAGGCCCCAGAGCACACGGCCTGGCCCCCAGAGCTCTACGGGGAACAGCTCTGTGGTCTTCTGAGCCGCAGCGCTCTGAGCGTGCTCCTGCTAGAAACATTTGACAGCATCACCCCACTGGACTCGACCTAGGGAGGACGTGCCTCACGCTAATGAGGAAACCCCCCTCACTCCACAGCACGCCCAGGGACCCCTGCACTGCCACCCCCGCCGCTGGGACAGCGCCCCAACTCCTTGGCCCAAGGAGCGTCTTCGTTCTGTGCTTGTGCAGGGCCCGGAAACATAAGGCCTGATCTCCAAACGGCTCTGAGTGCTACCGCAAAGCAGCCCCTCTCCCGACTCCCCCTCATCACGGAACCATAGGACTGGAAGGGACCTCGAGAGGTCATTGAGTCTAGTCCCTTGCACTTGTGGCAGGACTAAGCATTACCCCTGACAGGTGTTTCTCTAATCTGCTCCTAGAAATCTCCAGTGATGGAGATCCCACAGCCTCCCTAGGCAATTTATTCCAGTGTCTAACCACCCTGACAAGAAGTTTTTCGTAGCGTCCAACCTCAACTGCCCTTGCTGCAATTTAAGCCCATTGCTGCTTTATCCTCAGAGGTTAAGGAGAACAATTTACCTCCCTCCTCCTGGTAACAACCTTTTATGTACTCGAAAACTGTTAGCATGTCCCCCCTCAGTCTTTTCTTCTCCAGACTAAACAAACCCACTCCTTTCAATCTTCCCTCAGAAGTCACGTTTTTTAGACCTTTAATCATTTTAGTTGCTCTTCTCTGGATTTTCTCCAATTTGTCCACATCGCTCCTGAAAAGTGGCGCTCAGAACTGAACACAGTATCCAGTTGAGGGCATATCAATGTGGAGTAAAGCGGCAGAATTACTTCTTGAGACTTGCTGACAACACTCTGACTAATACATCCCGGAATGATGTTCCTTTTTTTGCAACAGTGTTACACTGTTGACTCATATTTAGCTTGTGATCCACTCTGACCCCCAGACCTCTTTCCGCAGTACTCCTTCCTAGGCCATCATTTCCCAGTTTGTATGTGCGCAACTGATTGTTCCTTCCTACGTGGAGTACTTTGCATTTGTCCGTATTGAATTTCATCCTGTTTACTTCAGACTATTTTTCCAGTTTGTCCAGATCATTCTGAATTTTAACCCTGTCCTCCAAAGCACTTGCAACCCCTCCCAGCTTGGCATCGGCCACAAACTTTATAAGTGTGTGCGCTCTCTATGCCATTATCTGAATCATTGAAGATATTGAACAGAACTGAACAGAACCCTAACCCAGAACTGATCCCTGTGAGACCCCACTCGTTATGCCCTTCCAGCATGACTGTGAACCACTGATAACTACTCTCTGGGAACGGTTTTCCAACCAATTCTGCACCCAATTTATAGTAGCTCAGGGTGGATAAAATTCAAAAAAAAATTTTAAATAAAAAAAAAATCAGTTTTTATTTAAATCAGATTTTTTGGATAAAATGCTTTTTGAGGCAATATCCTATCTAATGATAGTTTTAATTAAGATACATTATAGCTCAAAGATATCTCATCATGGAATAGGGATTATAAATTCTAATTCTATAGTATGAGACAATATATTCATGTAATATTTAAAAAAAAATTTGTAAATGAGTTCTAATAGTTTATGGATTAGGGACATAATCTTATGGGGTTCCAGGGGCTTCTATATAAATTATTTAGGTTAATCTTGCTATCTACCCACTGGGACTCAGTGCTCAGTCTAGAAGATACCATCAGAGATGCTTAGTTTTGCAGTTCTCAAAGTGTGGATTTGTGTCTCCAGAGATAGCATGCTTGTTAACAGCAAAAATGTTTTTAAATAAATAAATAATATATAGAGGTGAGAAATAACAGACCTCAACTCTATTGTCCCTCTGCAAATTTGGGTACACAGAGTCAATCCCTTACCTCTCTCTAAAAGTGCAAAGTTTCAAAAAGTTCAATGAATAGAAGATTGTTGGGGGCGGAATAGATCTGGACAAGGAGAAGAAGTCTGGAGATAAATGTGAGAAGGGAGGGACAGGCAGTAGAAACAAAAGTGAAACTGTTTGAGCAGCATATTCCAGAAGTCTTGAGGTCTTTCTGAGTGTAGCCTTCATTGATTTGAGATCTACCATACCAGATCTTCCATACCATTCTCTCACTAGAAGGGAAAACTTACAATGGCAGCAGGTCGTAAAAGAGACCCAGTTTGGGAATATTTTAATGAAGTTCCTCTACCTGTGGGTAGGACAGACATGCGTGCAAAACGCAAACAGTGCAATAAAGAAATGCAAGGCCTGGTTGACCGAATGAAACATCATGAGACGTGTTCCTTCTCAGGAGGAAGCTGCGTTGAAGATGATGAAAAGAACGTGTCTAAACATGCAGGATCTTCACGTTGGTAAACTTTTTTATTTCATACTTCTTTCTTAAGAACTGCCTGTCTTCCTTCTGGACTATTCTTGAATTCTCATGTTTGAGCAAAAAATATAGTTTTTACTCTATGGTACTATCATTTTAGATGTAGTTGTGAGAAAAAATGAATAGCTGAAATAGGCAGATCTTCCTTCACCTTTAAAGTAGTACCAAGTGTCAGTGAATGCAATGAGTAATACTAAATGAGCAGTATGGTAATAATAATTAAATAACTGCATTGACTTATTTTGTTTAGGAGAATCCATCCTCAACATACAGGATTCTGAAGACTATCCACCTTCAAGATCACCATCATTTTCTATAGTTTCAGAGTTATCTGCCAATGACAGTGTTTCAGTCACATCATGTATGTCACAGAGCCACAGTATATCACCTGTAGCAAAAAGAAAAAAAAAAAATCTCCATCATCCAGAAACAACCATAGATAAATTTGTGATAAGAACCAGCAGATTACAACAAGAGGTAATTCATGAAAAAATTGCCCGGTTTGTTTATGCAACAGACTCTCCTTTCCGTACGATTGAGAACCCACACTTCATTAACATGGCTCAGTCATTAAGACCAGGATACAGTCCACCCAATAGAGCAGATGATGCAGGCAAATTGCTGGATAAAATGCATGAAAGAGAAATTGAGCAGTGTGCAAAAGGTCTAGAGGGTGAAATTGTTAACCTGAGTCTTGATGGGTGGAGCAATGTCCACAATGATCCTGTTGTATGAGCTTGTGTGACAACAGAAGACGGGAATGTCTTCCTTACAGAAACAATGGATACATCAGGAAATGCTCACACAGCAGAATACTTACAAGAAGTAGCAGTAAAAGCTATAACAAACTGTGAAAAAAAATTCAAAATGTCTAGTACGCAGCTTGGTCACAGACAATGCTGCTAATGTATCCAAGATGAGAAGAAAATTATTTAGAAGAGAGTCCCAAGTTAATAACATATGGTTGCAGTGCTCATTTGATGCACCTCCTAGCCAAAGACTTCATTGTTCCAGAAATAAAGGCTAATGTTGTTGAATTGCAAAATACTTCCCTAACAACCACTTTGCAGCAGCTGCTCTGAAAAAAGTGGGAGGAACCAAGCTAACTCTCCCACAAGACGTGCGATGGAACTCAGTAGTGGCCTGTTTTGAGCACTATATCAAGAACCGATGACAGTTTGTGAACAAAATCGTAAAAAAATAGATGGCACTGTCACAGCCAAAGTTTGGAAGGAACTAAGTGAGACCTTAAAAAGAGAAATATGCAATGACAGACTTAAATTACAAGCATTTAAAAAAAACAAATGGGACAAGCACTATCTCCAGCTCATTTTCTTGCAAATATTCTCAATACTCAGTACCAGGGTCAAACCTTAACTGCTGAAGAAGAGGAGTTGGCTAGGACATGGACATGCAGCAATCATCCCTCCATAATGCCAACTATAATAAACTTCAGAGCTAAGGGTGAACCATTCAAGAAATATAGGTTTGCTGATGTTTTCAAGAAAGTCACACCAGTGAACCAGTGGAAGTCACTTAAGTACTTGGATTCAGAGACTGTTGAAGTGATAATCTCACTTTTAACAGCAGTAGCTGCTTCTTCTTCGGTCGGTGTAGAAAGACTATTTTCTTCATTTGAACTAATTCATTCCAAATTGAGAAATCGTTTGGGACCTGACAAAGCAGGGAAAACTTATTTTTCTTTTCCAGAATATGAACAAACAGGAAAATGAAGGTTAAGATGACCGAGTTAGCTACAGAAGCCAATATTTTAAGTTTCTCATGTTGACCTGGCTGACAGTAGATTTAATTTTGTTTTTTTTTAAATATTTCATTTAACTATTTTAGTTGAAAACAATTTTAACAAAAACAAACCTGATTTTAAAAAACTTGAATGTTTAACTAAATTTAAAAACTCATATGCTTGTTTTGTTAATATATTATATGTTTGACACTGAAGAAAAAAATCCAGAATACATAACATTGTTGTTTTAGTTAAATAAAACAATTTAAATGTCTGTCTGGTGATGTTCTCCTCCTAATTCAGCACGGCAAGAAAATCCTCCAAATATTAATGATTAACCTGTTGAATTGGAGATAGTTCACGTCCTGATGACTTCATAAAAATCTGCTTCAATTACCTTTGGTAAATGAAATAACCAAACAACCATTCATTTTCTGATATAGCTGTAAAACTCATCTGAAAAGTTTTCAAAATAAACCACTTAACAAAAAATAGTGTGTACCTTCTAAAAATGAAGCCTACATCTATCTCTGAGTTGCAAAGAATATGTATTAAGGTTATAACAACCAAAAACAATGCACTTTTATTTAGAAATCTATTATTTAAATCACTAGTCAGGAAGACTTGATTAAATCATGATTTAAAATTTAAATCAAGTCCATCCATAGAGCCCTGCACAGAGAGCACCCAACCCCCCACCATACACACCCCTGCACAGGCACCACTCACCCATACACACACACATCTCTGCACAGGCACCACTCACCCATACACACACACACACACATCTCTGCACAGGCACCAATCCCCCCCAGCCCTGCACAGAGAGCAGATCACACCCCAGAGCCCTGCACAGACACAGGTCCCCCCTCCTCACCAGCGCACCATCCCAGCTGTCCCGGAGATCCCGCGGGCCGCAGCTGTGCACCCCCCTGAGCTAGGTGGGGGGAAGGGGCGGACGGACGGACCGGGCTGGCTGCAGCGAGCCCAGAGCTGCCCTGGAGCAGGTTGAGGGCCGCTGGGCTGCGCGCCCCGCTTCGCTTCCGGCCCCTCCCGCGCTCAGCCCGGCCCCCCTCCCGGCGCCCCGCCCCCGCAGGACCCGGCTCTACCGAGCTCCGGCTGCAGCCCGCGCCCTCCACCCCGCTCGGCTCCAGCCTGGCCTCGGCTGTTTACCAGGGGCCTCGCCCGCCGGCCGGGGCGCTGCAGCGCGGGGACACCTAGCGGCCGCCGGAGGCACTGCCGGGGCAGGGCTCCTGCCTCTCCCCGCGGGGCTGGCTGCGCCCTCGGGGGCCCTGCCCCGCTCCTGACACCCTCCCCCACCCATCGTCCAGCCTGGCACCCGCAGGAGCCAGTCCAGCGCCTATGGAAAGTCACCGCTAGTTGCAGATCTCAGGGCAAGAGCCCGGGGGCAGACAGGTCACCAGCAGCCCGGCCCCTGCTACAAAGCCAATGGCCTCATTAACTGCCTATTAATGCCAATACTCCACTACAGAGCAGCCTGTGCCCGGTGGGACATAACAAACTGCCACCGCACGTAGCATCATAGACGATTAGGGCTGGATGAGACCTCAGGAGGTCATCATCTAGCCCTAGGTCTCACGGCCTCCTGCCTTTTGGATACGGCCTGAGCCCTTTGCAGGCGCACCCAAGGGAATTCAATTATTTGGGCAAGATCACTCCCTTGGGTGCCTCTGCAAAGCCTGGCTTGGAAGACTTTTGGGATTGTGAAAAATGCCTATATATTTAGGTTGTAAATCAGCGACCCCGTGTTCAAATCACTCCACATTTCCCAGGAAAATTCCAGCCTAGATCCAGTCTTGAGGCTGATCTGACCTTTTTTGTTTCCAGCCCTACGTGTCTATGATTCTCCGGAGCTTCATATTGTTTCTGAAGTAATATGATGATAAAACAGCTGTGTGGTGGGCTAACATAAGATGCATATCTGGGGGCTGTTGTACTAATGGCTTAATAGCGTGTCCGTGGTCAGTATCTAGACACACCGACACATATAAACGCCGTTTTCCCCGGAGCAGGAACGTTAGCCTTGTTCTCCTGACCAAACCCCAGCCCAAGTTCCTGTCTCACTCGTTCAACGTCCAGTGAAAGTATCTGCCGGACACAGGAGTTTCCTTCCTGGCTTTTCCAAAACTGCTGACTCATGTTGCTGGCACAGCTGCTGTTTTGTTCCACTCCACTCAGTGGAATGCGACCACCTCTCTGCACAGCCCAGTGAGCTCGGTCTTCAGTTTGTTTCTAAGGCGCGTGGGGATCTTTAGGGGGAGTAAGGGGGCTAATGAAATGGAAGATGATGAGGTTACTGAGAGCCAGTCTGGATGTGTGCATTGGTAAGGGGAGCAGTGGATGAAAAGAGGAATCCCAGGCTTAGCACACTAACCCCAGACTGGTCTATCTGGAATTCCAGGAGTGGAAGAAGCTGGGAAAGGGGAAAAATTCTGGGTCCGAGTCTCTGCAGCTGATTACAACCAACTGTGCTGACTCAGCCCCAGAGGAGCCCAGGCCTCACTCCCCAGGGCCTCACAGAAAGGTGGGGGAGAAACAGCAGTAGGAGCAGCCCCTGAAAGGCCATGGAAACCCAGAGGGATCAGGAGAAGCGTCCAGTGAAGGGAAACTACAAGAGGATCTGGAACAGCAAAGGCCCAGAGACAGGCCTGCTTGAGGCTGACCCATTACGCTGCTACAGCAATCGCTCAAAGGTCAATTTGCAGCTGAATTCAGATTTCATTGTTAGCCTGATTTACTCTCCCTTTCAGGGCCGTCCTTAGGATTTATGGGGCCCTACGCAGTATTATTAAACTGGTGCCCCTATGCCCAACAGCAGCCCGGGCTCGCATGTGTATTTTAGATAAGGAGGGTCTTTTGAAGGATGTATTTAAAAAATGGTATGTCTGAAAATCCAAGCATTTAAGGCTAAAGATGAATACTCAGATTGTGCATCTAAAAATCTATGCAAAGATTTTGTAGAGATGTGATTTTATTTTTCTGGGGAGGGGGGGGTGCTCCATCTCTGCCCCAAGGCCCCACCCTCGCTCCACCTCTCCCATCCCAGCCCCCAGTGCCCTACCTTCACTCCGCCTCTTTTCTTTGTAGTGCTTTCACTGTAAGAATAAATGCTTGCTTATAAAGGGCTGTGGGGTAACTTATAACTGCTGGCAATTATAGCTGTTCCTAGCCTTTGGAGCGACACCACAGTGCAGACATTAGCCTGTTTAGGCCATCTGGCTTGCTGGGGGAATGTCACACTGGAAGGCAGGGAACTGGAAAAACTCTGGTCGGGAGGGAGGGAGACGTGGGGTTCTGCCCAAGAGAGGTGATGGCTAAGGAGCCAGGAGCCTAGAATGCGTGTCCTCGAGGGACCACAGGGGAGGAATATAGTTGCAGTTGCCCTGGACTGTGACAGTCCCATCTTCCCAAAGCAGAGGAGAATAAGGCCACATGATTCTTTATTTGGCCAGGTGGGAAGATCCAGACTCTCACTTTCCATGTAGCAGGGCCTGACAGCGGAGGAGGAAGGTTTGCAAAGGAAGCAGATCGGTAGCATGGAATCCTGCGCAGCAGGTGGAGCTGGCAGAGAATGGACAAAGACAGAGACTGTGGTAGAGGGAAAAAAAAAAAAAAAAAAAAAAAAAAAAAAAGAAAGAAAACCAGACAAAAACCAAACAGATGACAACAACATTTTTTTAAAAAATGTTTTTTTTAAATGTATCTGATAAAGTGGGTTCCAGCCCACGAAAGCTTATACCCAAATAGGTGCCATAAGGTTCTGGAACAGCTGATCCGCAGCCAGGCAGGGAGCTGTGGAGCCACTGTGGCTGGCGGGTGCTGAGCACCCCCTATTTTTTTCCCCGCGGGTGCTTCAGCCCCAGAGCACCCATGGAGTTGGCGCCTATGAGCTGGACAGAGAATCCCCGCTGCAACAGTTTTCCCTCTGACAGCTCGCAGACCGCAAGGACATGGAGTTGAGAGTCTGTCTGGTGCTTCAGAATTTGCTGAAATCTTGGTACCACTGAGGAAAAAGCAGATGCTGAGAGGCTCTGGATCACCTTCACTTGCCCAGAAACAAGATACAGCACGTCACTACCGCCCCCACCCCCCTGCTGCCTTAAAAACATAAAGTGCATTTTAAAAAAAAAGTGTCAAGTTCGATCTAAATTGAAACAAATACGTTGAGTAGAAAAGTCGGGGAGGGGGTGCGTGTGTCCCTGTGCATACAGTAGCCACTTCAGCTGAGCTCTGACATCTCCGCTTGCCCTTGCGCTCCATTCTCCTCTCTTGGCGTGAGTCTGGCAGGCTTGCTGCAGATCCAGTATCGCACCGTGTCGCACCAAGAAGAGGTGACGGCTTCATCGTTCAGATACGCGCACTCACCCTGTGCTCTGACTTCAAACCTGCATTGCAAGCATCACGGAATTAAAGTCAAGGCTTCGTATTCTATGCAGCACAGCGGACAGAAAGCAAGCGGCAACGGCCTCTACATTGTGTACCACTGTCCCCTTTTGCATAATCCAGTTAGTCCAACATCCCTGGTTATGGTTCACATTAAACGCAGCTCTCCAATTTTTAATTTCAGTGTGATGCAAAATTTTGGTGCAAAGTTCCAAACACAATTGCATCACAGAAGTTGTCAGGGGAAACTGGGAAGTTTAAGGAGTTAGGTTAGGGACAGCTGGGGCTTTTCTTATCTAGGAAAATACCGAGTTTTGGGACCCATCAAGCAGCTGAAACATTGGTCACCGGGAAGGGGATGCATCACCTTTGTCTCTCCCCATTTTGGGGACATGAAGGAGAGGACTAAATTTGGGGAAGGGGGTTGAATTCTTCTTTCACAACGCCAGCAATCCGTGATAGCAACTATCTGCCCCAGGGTCTGGGACTTCATCCAGTGGCGATGGGGAAGTCTGCTGGCTTGATGCTTCTGTTAAAATGGTCAGCAGCAAAACAGTTACGTGTGGATGCTGAAAACGGCCTTAGTAGGGTTGGGTTAAGTCCAGCTGTAATCAGCGGAGCTATTAAGGCTTGTCTCAGAGCGATCACAACAGCAGTTCTGTCCGTTTCCTCAGGATATGTTTTACTCCTCGAAACAGTTCAACATAAAGCAAAGAACTAAACTGGGCCCTGCCTCCAGCCAGCCCCTACCTGCTCCCTGCAGCTCTCCGCGGAGCAGCTGGCTGGCCTTTGAGCTAAGCCTGCAAGTCACCTGATCCTCTCTTGTGATCCCTGGCCTCAGCCCCATCAGCTAACCAGTCACATTTATAGCCAAGCCAACTTCCCTGATAGGGCCCCCCCATTGACAAGAAAGAGAACTCACCAGTGATTGAATTCGGTGCCGTTGGTCCATTTCCAGGGCTGGCCCGGTTCCCTCCGGAGGCCGATCCAGTGCTCAGAGAGGTCTTTATGGCGCTTGATGAAAGCCTTTCCAAAAGAGGAAGTGAAAGATATTAATTATTCACCACAACCTGCATTCAAGTCTCTCTGTGCTGCTGATGGGGCCTCGTGCAGTCTGCAGGGCTGTTCTAGCTGCCAGCGACAGCAAAGCCTGCCTTGTTAAGGTTGCGGCTGGGGCCTTACCAAATTCACGGCCGTGAAAAACGCATCACGGACCATAAAATCAGATCTCCTCTGTGAACTCTAGCTATGTGGGGGGAGGGGCAGGGCTGGGGGCGCCCAAGCTGGGGGCTACTACCGTGTCTCCATCTCCAGCTGCTAGTCACCGGGATGGGGAGGGACAGAACTTATTCCTCCCTTGCACAGCTGCTCTCAGGGGAGACCAGACCCCCTCCGGGTACCTCCTCCAGTTGCAGGAAGCTTCAGGGCTGGGCAGAAGCTCCAGGGCTTCCTGCAGCCGTAAGAGGTTACCAGAGGTGGAGGTGGATCTGATCTCCCCCGTGCTGCTGGGAGCACCCTGCAGCTGGGGGAGGTACCCAGAGGTAGGTCTGATCTCCCCCGTCAACTCCCGCCCGCAAGCAGCTGTGCAGGGGAAGAGCAAGTCCTGTCCCTCCCCAGCCAACC